TTGGGAGGATCTAGAAGGATCTGGAAGGGTCTAGAAAGGCCAAGGCGAATCTAGAACGATCTAGATGGATCTATGAGCCTCTAGAAGAATCTAGAAGGATCTAGAAGGATCCAGTAGAATCTAGAAATCTAAAGGTCCTAGAAGGATCTAGAAGGATCTATGAACCCGTAGAAGAACCTAGAAGAATCTGGAAAGATCTAGAAGGATCCAGGAGGATCTAGCAGGATCTAGTAGGATCTAGAAGGATCTATGATGACCTAGAAGTGTCTAGAAGAATGTGGAATTCAGAAGTTACGAATAGAAAAAATGGAAATTCAAAAAAGTAAAATTCAGGTAGATCATAAATTTTGGATAGATCATAAAATTTCAAATTACTGGAAATTAGCAAAAATCGAATAATTCCAAAAATCTGAAATATGGAGCAAGATGGACTATTCAAATTCTCAAAAAGAATACAATATTTAAGGATTACTGTAGGTAGGGAATTGGACTACTTGTAATTCCAAGAAATGTCATAGTTCTGGAATGATCAAAATTTATGGATGAGCAATTTGAAAATCTAGGACAAATGAATTAAAATTTTGATTAAAAATTTTCGAATTCATGGCGGGAAATGAGATCTAAAACTTCTGGAAAAACTGAAAAATGCAGCATTTATAAAAGGAAAAAATTTAAAGCTGAGCAATCTAGAGGGATCTAGAAGGATCTAGAAGAGTCTAGAATTTTTTTTTTAGTTCTTAAAAAAAGAGCAACTAACCTCCAAAATTTGCTCTCTCGAGCGGCGGAGATATTGCCATCCTGGATCCTTCTCGTGCTCCATTATTGATTCTCGCTTCGAATTGCTTTTCGAAGACGCTCAACTAATATCGGTGCTCCCTTTAGTCGAGGTTGACGATGCGAGTGATGAGTATCGGCAGCCTCCGAGGAGCATCTTCTTCTTGGCACCCGCAGGCCACGCCCACTTTTTTGCTTCTTCTGATATGAGGTGTAAAGCTGTGTTTGTGTGTGTGTGTGTGTGTTGGCTTCTGTGCCGAGATGCTTCTTCTTCCCGAGATCCCGGGAACTACTAGAGAGACGGGAGACGCCTACGCCTGGTGTGGAGGGTTCCAGAGACATCGGGATGGGATGGGATGGGAGATGAAAAAAAGGATCTTGGCTTAGAGGGGGAGAGAGAGCACAGGGAATACAGGTCAGATAGAAGAGTTTAAAGTGCAAATTCTGGAAGGTGTGAAGAAGAACAAGGACATCTGGAGTCTTGGAAATCAGGAGGGATGCTATTCTTGAATTTCAGGAATTCTAAACTTCATACAAGCTTCCCAGACTTTAAAAAATGAATTTAGATTTGTCAATATTGAAGTAGAAGCTTCGATTCCACTTTTTTCTAGCTACATTAGTTTTTGAGTTATGATTCTGACTTTAACTTTAAGCGAGGTTTTCTCGGCTCCTGTGAAAGATATCAAAAAACTGTTAATTGATAAAATATTTATCATAATATCAGCAACATTTTACTAGTTATCAAAATTTTGATATTTTCTACAATAATCGAGATACACGAGCTTAACGCTAGTGTCACTCTGAAATTTCTGCAAGTTCCGTATTATCATCATCTATTATTATTGTTCCAGAATTTTCTGTTCCAAGTAGCAGCTACAAATGTTCTGAATGTCTGGAATTTCTTCCGAGTCAGTTGGCAGGTCAGAAATTCCTCTTCTTCTTCTTCTTATCCTTCAATATTTATCCCAATTGCGCCAGATAACAGAAGAAGAAGAAGACGAGTTGACTTGTTGTGTGTTTTTTGCTGTGTAACATAAGTTTACAATGGAATGAGATAAAGATGGAACAACTCGGAAGAGTGAAAAAAGTGGTGTGGTTTTTTTTTCCAAGTGACACTTAATGGGGTGATCTGAAATTCTATATTGCGCATGTTGAGCCCGTCATCTCGGTTCCTATGAGAGATATCAGAAATCTGTCAACTGATGAAATGTTTCTGATATTATGATAAATATTTTATCACTTAATAACTTTTTGATATCTTCTTTAGGAACCGAGATAATTGTGCTTAAAGTGCACTTATTACTTGGGCTTCCGTGTAATAATGAGAATGGCCCTGTAACGTTGGAGTTGGCTAGTTAGAACCCAATTATTTCAACTTCTAATAGAGATATCAAGAAAGTATAAAATAGAAAAATATAGAAAATTAAATTTCACACATTTCACCAATTGATTATTTCACTTTATCATTTTCAGGAGCCGAAATAATTAGGGTTGAACCAAAGAAAGTGTTAGGTTCTCTGCAATCCGGTAGTCAATTTGGTTTATTGTGACAAATTTTTAATTAAATGTTATATCATTATGACCCTCTTAAAAATTCCCACAAATCTAGCCAAAAATCAATGTTCTAGCTAAATTTCGGTGCGAGTTATGCGCCTTTAAAGTTTGGCGAGAGCGCAGAGAAACGAGAGTGTCTGCGTCTCTGCCCTGTATCTCAGCTCAAAATGGTCCGTTTTTAGTGATTTTTATTGTTTTGAAGGGGAAAACTTGATGAATATAAAATAATAAATTTTCTGAAAATTTATTACTTGGAACTCAATTTTCTTCGGCTTGGGGTGAGCGATGCAGACACTCTCGTTTCTCTGCGTTCTCGCCAAACTTTAAAGGCGCATAACTCGATTCAAAATTTTGCTAGAAATTTGATTGTTGGCTAGTTTTGTAGGAAATTTCAAGTGGATTAGAATGGTATAAAATTCTTTATATAAAGCAAATCAAGTTGTTTTCTTGAACTTCTTACAAGTACATTCATCATTTTTTGCCACGTATCTCTGTCTTCTAAAAGCTCATAAATCATTGTGATGATAGTATGTGATGATAATGATGTAACTGGATAGTCTTCTTCTTTTCAAACATTTTCTATCCTTGAGCATCTATCTCCACGAAAACAATTCCCCCCCCCCCCTCTTCTCCTTGCTCTTCTTCATCTCTTTCTTTCTGATTTTCCCGATTCAAACTGTGTAAGAAGGAGTTGGCAAAACCCGAACAAAATAGCATTCAAATCAGAGAGAGAGTTGCCAGAGAAGTAACAACTGGCTCGGTGTCTGACGTCTCTGCGATTCCTGCACTATTTCGTTTTGGGTATCCCGAAGGCATGTGGGATCGGCGGCAAAAGAGTTGTAGGTTCGACACAAAACTCTTTTCCGGAGGGAGAAGAAGAAGCATGAGTTGGAAAATTGGGGACCGGGAGAAATGTTTTTTTGGCTGGAGATAGAAGAAAATGTTTGATTGTAATAAGCCAAGGGTCAGTTGGATTGAAAAAGCTTCCGGGATATATGATGGCAGCTGTTCCATGATAAGAGGAAGATCAAAACATAATCAGTTTGGGTTTGTCAGGTCAAAAAACGGCAGATGTCTCGGAAGATCCCAAACGTAGGCATTCTAATAGAAGCGGCAACCTATCTTTGAGTCTATATATCTCATTTTGTGTGAAAGATATCAAAAAGTAGTCAACTGATAAAATTTTTATCACAAAATTAGCAACATTTTATTAGCTTACAACTTTTTGATATCTTTCCCAGGAACCGAGATAAATTAGCACAAAGTTGAAAGGTAAGGAGGCCTCCGGGACACAGTGCTTACGGTAGCCTCGGCATGGTGACTTCAAAGCTATCTCGTCTTTTAGAAAAGCTAGCAAAAAATTAAAAATTCATCAATATGTAATACAAAATTTTACACATTTCATCAGTTGTCAAATTTTTTGTATCTTCACTAGGAACCGAGATTAATTAGCTCTAAGTTGAAGTTAGACTTACAAATTTAAAAACGCATAACTCAAAAACTACTGTAGCTAGGCAAAAGTTTGCAATCACAAAAACAATTGGAATTCTATTTTCTACGTTTTTGTAATTTACATCTTTTCCATTGCTACAGTAGTTTTTGAGTTATGTGCCTTTAAAGTTTAGCTACTCTTCCTCGCCGCCGCTCCCCCTATGGGGGTGGGGTGTGAGGGCGCGCACGCAGAGCACGCTAACTTTAAAGACGCATAACTCAGAAACCACTGTAGCTAAGAAAACAAAATAAAAACAGAAATGTAGATAATTGAATTTTCTATGTTTTTGTTTTTTACAATTTTTTGATTGCTACAGTAGTTTTCGAGTTATACGCCTTCTTCCTCGCCGCCGCCTTCCCCACAGGGGTAAGACGGCGCGCCGGGTACGCTAACTTTAAAGGCGCATAACTCAAAAAGTACTGTAGCTAGGAAAAAGTTTGCAATTGCAAAAATGTAGAGAATTCAACTTTCTACATTTTTATAGTTTTTAATTTATTTGGGTCTGCCTTGGGAACCTAGATAAACGAGGTTAAATTTCAAGATTATTATATTTAGGCTTATTTGGATTGTTTCTTATTTTCAAGGTCATTTTTGAATCTACAATTTCCCACTGTGTTCCCATTGCTCATCACTCAAAAAATACACAAAAACACACACAGACATTTCTTCTTTTTCCTCATTTCGTATCTTTTCTCCCTAATGAATGCCATTGGATTTTCACTCCTTCTCTCGGTTTGTGTAATAATAGAAGAGAGAAAAAAGACACTTCCAACACATATTATATCATCTATTGGATTGTCTGGATGAAATACTGGAAGAGATGGAACCGATTTTTTTCAGAAATTCGGATTTATGGAAAATTCAGAAACTTTGGGTTCAAAATATTTTGGGGACTGAAACTTGGGATAAAGGAAACCCGGAAACTTTGGATATGAGCAATCCAGTGATACTTGCAACTCATCGAATTTAGCTTGAAAGCTACCGTAACCCCTGAACATCTAAATTCCACAAACTCTCAAAAATTACGTGCTTCCCCTTTTAACCCAATCTAATTTCCCCTAGGCACCAAAAAAAGATGCCACCCTCCACTCAGTTAGATCTCCTCCAGGACATCCACCATTCCTCAAGAGAACATTAGGCATTTGGAGACTTGACTCTAAAAAATAAATTGAAATAAAACATGCCGGATGAATCAGCTGCTTTGGAGGCGCCAAATGATCAGGAAAAAAAGGCTCCACCACAGGTTGTAAACCTACCAATTGGAACGATTGTTGGCAAAAAGTATAAGGTTGGTTTCTAAAAAGATATTGGCGCTGGTGGGAATCGAACCAAAATGGGTTGAAACGACAAGCAGGCGCGCTGCCGGCTGCGCCACCGAGGCCGATAGAGAGAAAAAAGTCGCAAGGCGTATAGAAAGGTTGAGTCGCGCGGTAACGAGCGGCTCACAGATGCTGTCATGACAGTCCTAGCAAATCACAATTATCAAAATTCCAAAAATTCCAGATAACCCACAAACTCGGAGAAGGCGGTTGCGGATCAGTGTACAAAGTGGAGGATACTGAAGACAAGAGCCCATATGCGATGAAAGTGGAATTTGCAGCTACAGATAGCGGAAACGTCCTTAAAATGGAAGTTCAGGTAAATGCGCTCTACTGAACTACCTCAACATTATGTTTTAATAGGTTCTGACTCTAATGAAGTCGAAGAAACACGTGGCAAGGTGTGTGGCTAGTGGGAAGAAGAAGGAGTACTCGTACATGGTGATGACTCTGTTGGGAGAGAGTTTGGACTCGATTGTCAGGTACAGTAACCCAAGAAAGCTACAGTAATCCAAGGATAAATTAAATTGTTTTTGCTTTTAGGAAGCATGGACCGTACTTGAATGTCTCTAGTCAAGTGAGAATTGGGATCTGTGTTTTGTTTGGGATCAAGCAGCTTCATGACGTGAGTAGTGGTGTTAAACTTTAAGCTCCTATATCTCGGTTCCTGTAAGCGATATTAAAAAGTGGTCAATTAATAAAATGTTTATTATAAAATGAAAAATATTTCGTTAGTTGACTACTTTTTGATATTTTTCATATAGAATGAGATAAAATGTCTTAATGGGACAGGCCCCCTCCATCCTTCCTCGGGAGGTTTGACAACTTTGAGCTCCTATATCTTGGCTCCTGTAAAAGATATCAAAAAGTGGTTAATTAACAAAGTATCTATGATAACATCAAAAACATTTTGCTAGTTTACTACTGTTTTATATCTTTTACGAGAACCGAGATAAATCAAAATTCCAGATTGGCTACCTCCATCGCGACCTAAAACCTGCTAACGTGGCATTGGGATATGTGAGTCTTGCAAAACTCGCTCTACCGTACTTATTTATTTTGTTTTCAGAAGGGTTCGAGTGATGAGCGTTTCTTCTTGGTTCTAGACTTTGGATTGGCTCGTCAGTACATCACAGAGAAGCAGGACGGAAAGAAAATGCGTCGTCCTCGTGAGAAGGCCCTGTTCCGCGGTACCGCCCGTTATTGCTCAGTGGCCATGCACGATCGTTACGAACAGGGACGTGTTGACGATTTATGGTCGTTGGTATACATGTTGGCCGAGTTGAGATGCCAATTGCCATGGGAAGATGTGGATGAGAAGGTAATCGTGAAATTATTGTGTTCTAACACTCTTTTTTGAATTTAGCGCCCTCGAAAACCCCAGAAACAAGCTTTAAATCCTCTCAAACCCTCAATTTCCCTCTATAACGCTTCTAGAGAGAAGTGGCCGACATCTCCCGGGTTTCGCGCGCCACTATACTTTGTGTGGTCGGTCGCCAGACTCCGCCCACTTTTGATTTGAAGCTAGCTCAATAGGGAAAATGGCTGCTTTTGAGCTAGAAATGGCAAATTTTGATAGGACTTTTTGATAGATATGGGAAGAAGAGAAAATTTGGAATCTTTTGGAATAAGTTTCAGGTTCTAGGATCAATTTTGAGCCGAGTTATGAACCTTAGAAAACTTAGATACTAGTTTTGATTTGATTTCTGAAATCAGCGCCCTCGAATGTCCCATAAATCAGTTTTAAACCTTCTAAGACCCTCAATTTCCATCTCTAACGCTTCTAGCGAGAAGCGGCCGACATCTCACGGGTTCCGCTGGCCACTATACTTTGTGTGGTCGGCAGACTCCGCCCACTTTTAATTCTAGACAAGTTTTAGGCGGTTTTTGAGATAGAAATGGCGAATTTTAATATGGTTTTTTTGATAGATATGAGTAGAAGGGAAAATTTGGAATCTTTTGAAATATATTTCATGTTTTAAGCTAAATTTTAAGCCGAGTTATGGATCGATTTTTCAGGACGTTATCGGTAACATGAAGCGTGTGTGCCCAGACTCGGATCTCTTCGCAAAGTCCCCCGTTCAAATGTTGGAATTTGTGAAAATCGTCCGAAACACTCAATTTTATCACCGTCCCGAATACGATAAAATGTACAAACTGCTGGAGGAAGTGATGATAAACGCAGGCTACAAATGGTCCGATCTCTATCACTGGGAATCGGAGAAAACTAAGGAAAACAAGGTGGCGAAGTTGTCCAAGTTGTTTGTCGGAAAGAAAGGTTCGTTTCTTTTTTTTCTGTGTGTCCAGATGTCATCTTTTGTAGGTGCTACCACTCCAACCAAGGATAGTGCAGAGGGTTACGATCCAAATGCGCCACCCTACTTCACTGTTGAGGACTTTATCAGCAATCCACTTGGATTTTAGAACTCTGTCTATCTGTCTGTGTGTCCTTATGTCCATTGTCTTGTGAATGAATAAAGTGTGAAATTCCTTTTTAAAATTTCGATTTTCCAAAGTCTCAAAATCCGTTTTCGAATTTCTGGATTTTCTTCAAACTGATTTTTAGAGTTTTCAAATGCAAATGAATCCAAAAAGTGCAACTACAACTACCGTATTACCTCTAATAGAAGGTTATTCAAGGCATCAACTTTGAGCTCACGTATCTCGATTCCTGTGAAAGATATCAAAATTTTGTCAACTGATAAAATACTGGTGTTATTATGATAAATATTTTATCAGTTAACAGCGTTTTGATATCTTTTGAAGGAACTGAGATATATGGGCTTAAAGTTGGGATGGTTTTTGGTGGGTAGGCTTCCTTTAGAGAGCGCCGCGCCACCGCCTTGTGTACGCCCACCACCACTGTTTCTCCTATGTGCACCTTGTGGCGCAAAGGCTAACGTTGCTGTTTTGGAATCTGACACTCTCTGGTTCAATTCCCACGGGCGCCAATCTCTTTTTGCTTCTTTGCAGATCACAATATCTTATGTCTCTACTTCTTCGGGATGCTTCTTTGAATTTGGGTTTTCAAAAAAGTGTTCTAAACGTTAAAAGTTAATTAACTCACAAGAAGAAAAAAGAGTTTAAACCATAAATATGTATTGCACATGAAACAAGTATTTAGATCAAATAAAAAACTATTCTGGCTCATCCACCAAATCCGCCAAAAATTTCGAAATCGGATGGTCCTCTCCATGACTTTCCAAGCTAGACTGGACAGCGAGTTTCGGGATGTCCATAGAATACTTTTGAAGACGTGAGAGACATTTACAAGCGATATACAAACGACGTGTCACTTCAGGAGCACCTATTCCGAGTCGAGAACTGCAAATATTGAATTCCTAGGCCATCAGGAAATTTCTAGTCCACTTACATAAAATGCTGAACACCTCTAATTGCAATTAATTCCATATCTTCTGGAACATTCTTCATTTCACTTGCACAGTACGCCAATTGCTCATCTAGTTGTAGAATCGCCACGTTGCAGTCCGCCAGAATCCGCCCGTATTCTTCTTGAAGATTCTGAAGGTGTCTGTACTCTTGTACAGTATCCAATTGCTGTGATTTGTGGAGATTTTCAAGGGTATCCAGGAGCTTTGAGGTTGATTGAGTGCTCTGGAATTTTGAAATGTCTAAGAGTCCAATAGAGCGCACTTACCTGCTCAAAAGGTATCATCGCTGGCTTCCCACAAGTAGTACATGATCCATTGGCACCTTTGACAAATCCCTGACACTTGCTGGTTTGACACTTTGAAGCTAATCCAGTCAAGTCGAGATCCTCGTTCAGGCACATTTCACAGCGGCAGGTGATGAAGTGGACGTTGCGGATGGATTTTTGACGTTCGAAAGTGGGTAGCATCCGAGAGACATAGGATATTGTGGTCTGGAAAGAAGCAAAAAGAGATTGGCGCCAGAGGAGTTGAACCAGCGAGGGTCAGATTCCAAAATAACTGCGTTAGCCATTGCGCCACAAGGTGCATATAGAAAAGAAGTGGTGGTGGGTGCACACAAGGGAGTGGCGCAGCGCTAATTGTTGGGGTGGGTGAGGAAACGCAGATAGTAAACTTTGAACTCCATTATCTCGGTTCCTTTGAAAGATATCAAGAAGCTGTCAACTGATGAAATGTTGTTTTTTTAATGATACACATTTTATCAGTTGAAAACTTTTTGATATCTTTTACGGGAATTGAGATATATAAGCTCTTAGAGGAAAATAGCAGAAACAAAAGACTTACATTCTTACAATACTGTCTGTCCCTGGACCTCAACACCGCCTGATTCCCATCAAACACCACATGACAAGTAGAAGCACAGGAATGATTGTGCGTGGCTAGCCCCACATACATTCCACTTCCAATAGGTTCCACCCGTTTTTCAGCGATTATTCCAAACGAGTTGCACAACACACTGCAAATGATTGCGATCATTTTGTTGTTGTCCATTGATTCAGGGAAGATGTCTGAAAGAAATTGTGGTTTTACTGCCAAATTCATAGGCTAAAAGGCCTTACTGTGTCCAGAAGCTTTGATAATGGTGAGGATATCAGAGAGGAATTGATTGTGTTTCGGGCTGGAGCGAAACTCTTTGTAGTCTGAAATTTGGAATTTTTAAAGAAAATCGATTTTTTCATTGAAAACGGGTGACGAGCGACTCGCCGGCGGCGCGCCGCGCAGCATATCCTCTATTTAGTTGCCCACCGCTCCCCTTTCTTTCTGTTGCACGCGTGGTGTAGTGCCTAGCGCTGCTGCCTGTGACGCCGACCACCGCAAGTTCAATCCCCGCTACGGCTAACTCTTTTTTCTTTGTTTTTCTATGACTTACTCGTCTCCAGAGCATCGATATCCGGTCCATTTGAGTTTCCAATGGTATTCAAAAGCACTCTCACGCACAGCCTCATGGTTACTGTCATATTTTGCGCTGTTCCTCTCAAAATCTCGCATTCCAACTGATGCACGGTCTTCCAGTCCTTCCTCTGACACTTTAATGAGCAATACGACACTTGTGTACAATCGTCGCATGTGAGGATCTCTGAATCCAAATGGCTCGGATCGATTTCCGAGAAGCACGTCGCACAGTAGGTGTCCTGGAATTCTGGGGAGAGGACGGCAGCGAGGGGTTTCTCACGGGCTACTGTGTACATTTTTCTGAAATAGGGTTACTGTAGGAGGATGGGGTACGGTAGAGCGAGTTTGTCAAAATAAATAAGAGCAAATAGATCTACGGTAGGGTATGGTAGAAATGGTACCGGTAGGCAGGAGGAGTACGGTAGAAATGGTTACGGTAGGGAGGAGGTGTACGGTAGAGCGAGTTTGTCAAAAATAAGAAAGATAGTGGATGGTTACTGTAGGAAGGAGGGGTACGGTAGAGCGCGTTTGTCAAAATTACAAAAAAAAGAGGGTTACTGTAGGTTTTGGGTGAAATAGAAAGAAAAATCGATAGAAGAAGAGAGGGAGAGGAGGAAATCAAATTAGGGATTTGTTACTGAAACTCTTCAAACGCCCCCTAAAGTCAATAATGCTAAGTCCAATGGGGCGTACTTGCTTCACTTTCCCTCCAGGGAAGAAAAGGACATCCGGACCGACAGACCGACAGACAGATTTTCCCTCTGATTTCCCCGTATTTTTCTCTATGTCTTCTTGTATTTAGAAGAAGAGAATAGAATAAGAAAAAAGATAGAAATCTCCGCCAAATGTTCCCAATCTAGATGTCCCAAATTCTCTCTTCTTCAATTCACCAATTCTTTTTCCCTTAATTTCAAAAATAGCCAGAATAACCAAATATGGACACTGAAAAACGAAATTTGGTGTCTGAAATGCCCAAAAGTTCCAAGAGCATTTTGAAGGTTTGTCCTATTTTTTGAAACTGTTAACTTTGAGCTCAATTATCTCGATTTCTGTAACAGATATCAAAAAAGAGTCAACTGATAAAATATTGCTGATAATATGATAAATATTTTATCAGTTGACAAATTTTTGATATCTCTTATAGGAACCGAGATAATTGAGCTTAAATTTGATAGTTTGGGTGACGCCACCCACTTGTGGCGCGACCCCACCCACGCCACCCACTAGCGCGGCGCCACCGCCTTGTGTACGCCCACCACCACCGTTTCTCCTTGTGTACCTTGTGGCGCAATGGCTAACGCTCCTGTTTCGAAATCTGACACTCTCTGGTTCAACCCCACCGGCGCCAATCTCTTTTTGCTTCTTTTTCAGACAACTATTTTTCAGACAGAAGCCACCTACTTCTTCATACTGGAATTGGCATCGGCCTTCGTGCTCTCTGCCGCTCATAATGTCTTATATTTCGTGCTGGATATCAAGCTGATAGCCACAAGTTTTGCCCAGTTCTTCTTCACTTTTCTTTTCCTGAGACTCATTCATTTCGCCAACTACATCCCTCAAGCACATATTCCAATGAAGGTAAGTATTTTAAAAAAATCAAGAAGAAATCAAAAAATCCTAGAATTTAGGATTTTTCGGTTTTCCTGTAAACCGGACCTTGGAAACGGGGCCCTGGCGGGCCTTCGTCGGACCTGCCATAGCTTCTTTCAAAATTAATATTTTAGAACCAACTAAATTGGATATGATGGAAGAGCTCAAGAACTACAAAATGGTCCTATTTGGGTTACTGTATCTGGCTTATGAACAAAGGTATAAGTTATAAAGTAAGAGCTGCATAGCTCAAATGGTTTTGACTTGTAACTTAGCTCATAGACCAGATACAGTAATCCAACTAATATCATTTCGTAGCTTTTGAGTTTTTCTATCATATCCAGTTCAGTTGGTCCTATAATACGGATTCTGAAAGAAGCTATAGCAGGTCCGGCGAAGACCCTTTTTGGGTTTACTTGCAAACCGGACCATTGGTGGGCCATCGGCGGCCTGGCTATAGTTTCTTTTAGAATTGATATTTTGGGATCAACTAAATTGGATATGGTAGAAGAATTCAAGAACTACAAAATAATACTAGTTGGGATACTGTAGCTGGTCTACGAACAAAGTTACAGGTCATAAAGTACGGGCAGAATAGCTCCAATGGTTTTTGGCTTGCANCTTTGTTCATAGNCCAGCTACAGTAATCCAAATAGTATAATTTTGTAGTTCTTGAGTTCTTCTATCATATCCGATTTAGTTGGAATCGAAATATTAATTTTGAAAGAAGCTAGTGCCTACGACATTTGGATTTATTCGAAATTCCAAAAATTTCAGGTAATCCTCCCAGCGGCTGGCGCCAAACTCCTAGAGTCCTAATCGCCTCTTTAGCCAATTCCCACAACCGAACCGGTGAACTTTTCCTAGTTCGAATCTTCGATTTCCTATTCGCCGGATGCGTTCTGCTCTATTTCTCGTCTAGGTCCCTATCCAAAACTGATCTCTGGCTAGTGGTAAGTCGGACCACTTTGGACCAGTTCTGGACCATTTTGGACCATTTTTAGGTCATTTCAAAGCTATTTTCAGACCCCCCTTGCCGTCTCCGTGTCCATATCTTGGCTGGAACCTGGCCAAATCGAGTACACTGGCATTTCTCTGATCTTTGCATTCCTCCTACCATTCTCCAGAGCACTATCTTTCATTTTATTGAAAAATGCGGCTGAGTGTTTAGGAAAAGGGCATATCAATGCGTTTATGTTGGATTACACCCGCCTATGCTCGATTTTGCTGTTCCTACCGGCCCTGGTTTCCTATATGATGAGCAATGTGGAAGTTACTGCTAGCTGGGAGTCTATTGACTATGTAAGTTTGCTCTGGGGACAATTTTGAACCATTTTAGAGCATTTTGGACTATTTTAAACTACTTTTGGACTAGTTTAGTCCATTTTGGGGCTATTTTAGACCATTTTAGAACCTTTCTAGACCATTTTTGGACCGTTGTAGACTATTTTAGGACTATTTCAGACCATTTTAAGACCTTTTTAGACCATTTTTGGACCCCTTCAGACAAATTTTGGACCCCTTTAGACCACTTTGGACCATTTTTGGAACATTTTTGGACCATTTTAGACCATTTTTGACCTATTTGAGACCACTTTTGGACTATTTTAGACTATTTTAGGATCATTTTAGACTATTTGTGGATCATTTTAGACCACTTTTGGATTGTTTTAGATCATTTTAGACAACTTTTGGACTGTTTTAAACGACTTTTGGACTATTTTAGATTATTTTTGGACTATTTTAGACTTTTTTGATCATTTCAGACTATCAAAAAGCAAATTTTCAGGTGCTAATGTCTCTCTCCTTCCTCTTCATGATTTGCAATCTCTACAGTCAACTTTGGCTAGCCCTGAGCCTCTCGCCAAGTGTCTATTTGGTTTTGGAGAACTCTAGAAATCTTTTGGCATCGGTAAAATGATTTTTTTTTAATTTAAAAATTACTTTTTCGAAAAATTACAGTGCGCTCAATGGATCATTCAAAACATGGCACACCCGAGTTTGATCGCTTTTGGAGGGAAACTTGTGGCTTTTTCTTCGATTTTCAGAATTTGGACGAGATCTTAATTTAATAAAAAAGAATTTTGTTGAATTTTTGAATAAAAAATACGATTTTTCAGCAATTTTTAACCTAAAAATTGAATTGTTAAAGATTTTTTGAAAAAAAATTGTTTATAAAAAATAATTTTCGCCGAAAAAAAACCAATTTTCAGTGGTTTTTCATCATTTTCAGGCCTAAAAAAATTTTTAAACACTTTTTTCAATTTTTCACGATCGTTTTTGTCTTTTTATCTCTTACTTTTCACTTCTAGACTTGCAAAAATAAATGAAAAAAAATTGTTTTTTCGAAGGCGAAGCAAACGCGCTCCACGGCGAACGCGTTTGATTCTCAGCGCGCGCAACCAAATTCGGGTTATTTGCGCGCGAAACTCTGGCATTTTAGGCCATTCGATTGTTTTTCGGGGCATTTGAATCGTTTTTTGGGTCGATTTTGGTGGTTTCTTAGCTGTTTTAGACTGGCAAAACGCGTAGAATCCGTAAAAATGGTCGGTTCCATCGATTTTCCCATGAAAAATGGTGAAAAATCGGTGTTTTTCGGTCAATAATTTCGATTTTTGATTGACCTATTCCTTGTTCAAAGCTCTGCTCGAGCTAGATCAGAGCTAGTTTCGAAATTCTGGCTGTTTTTTCTCTGATTTTTCAAAATCGCAAATTTATCTAGAACTTGCGTCTTCCTCTACTTTGCATCATTTGAGTCGTTTTCCGGATCAATTTTTGTAGTTTCTTTGCTGCTTTGGACTGAAAAATGCATAGAACTCGAAAAATTCACCAGTTTCACTGATTTTCGCATGGAAAATGGTGAAAATTCGATATAAATTGACTAAAAATTTCGATTTTCCTTGACCTATTTTCATTCAATTTACTCTGATCGCAGTTAGTTTTAAATCTTTATCACAACTTAATCTAAAATCGATGATATTTGACTTGTTTTTCTAGTCTCTGCTTTTCTCTGTTCTTCTGCGTCTCTCACTCTCTCCCCTCTCTAAAGTTGTTTTTCACAGAACCTCCGTTCCTCAACAGGCCCAAAAAAGATGCCGTCCATGCTTGAGAAGTACACTGTTGAGCTCAGAGAGCGCGACCCGGCCACTGTGGACACACTCTTCTTGGACAACTCGGATGACGGACAAATCGGAGGAATCAACGATCAACTTACAAATTTGGCTGTAAGCAATCCTATTAGGGCGAAAAAGTTTCTTATATTCTGAATTTTACAGATGCTCAGCATGGTCAAGTGTGGTCTAACCACTCTCTCTGGCTTCCCACACCTGCCAGCACTTACCTATTTGGATCTCAGCGACAATCAACTCGGTGACGCCGCCGGCTTCGACGTTCTCGTCAAGAATGCTCCGGAACTCGAGAGACTCACTCTCAACAACAACAAGCTCTCGCTCGACAATCTCCGTCAGCTCAAGATGCTTCCAAAGCTCTCGGAGCTCGAGCTCACCAGCAATCCAGCTCTCGGACTTCTTGCCGAGTACCGCGACAAGGTGTTCGATATGATTCCATCGCTCAAGATTCTCGACGGATGCGATGTCGAGGGAGTCGAAGTCGAGGAGGATTTCGCAGGCGAGGGAGACGGTGCCGAGGGCGAGGAGAGCGGAGAGGACAGCGAAGGCGAGGACGGACCAGGACTCAGCTATCTCAACAAGAGTCAGTTCTCGGACGATGAGACTGACGACTACGTGCCAGAGGTAAGAATAGTTTATAAGTTATTCAGTGAGAAGCAAATTGCTGGGTTCTCCAGGAGCTACACGACCCGTCTAATCAAGGCCCTAGCAGGAAGCTCCATGCGCCTTCAATTTTGAAGCGATTTAGGAATTAAAGGCGCATAGAGTTTCCTGCTTGGGTCTCGCTTTGACTAATCGTGTAGCCCCTTGAGGACAACACATGGCCTAGGAATCTTCACCAATGGGGGCCTATGTAGACCTTTGAGTATTCTAACTATTTTCTTTCAGGAGAACGCCGAGGCTCGCGGAACCAAGAGGTCAGCTTCGGAGGAGGCCGGAGACGATGAGCCAGAGGCCAAGAAGGCTGCCGAGGAGTAACTCCTCCTTCTCTTTTCTCAACACCCACCCATCACCGGAATCTCCCCCCACAATTTTATACTTCGTCTATTTTTATATGTTTTTTAAACAAACAACTTCTGTAACCAACTCTCCCCTTCACTACCCCCAAAAACGATGTTCCCTATCCATCGTTTCCCCCTTTTTCTTCTCTATCTCGGCTGTGCTGTACAATAAACCGACTCATTTGATCTGAATCTCTTTAAAAGAAAAATCCTATTCTATTCTGAATTCCAGTGATGAGAATAAATTATTGTTTTCTGAAGTTTTTTAGTATGGGAAAATTCATTAAATTTCGGGTTTCTTTCCTGAAAAATCTCGAAAATTTTCAAAATTTGAATAACCGCGCACACCGATGCTCCGCTATCCCGCTAGCGCGCGTTGTTTAGCCAAGAAAAAAATGCAATTTCCAGCGAGAATTTAGTGGATTTTCACCTATTTTCAGCCAATTTTCCAATACCAAATCGAATCTTGCAGGGTTTTTTAAGTCCCAAAATGGCTAGAAGTCGAGAACAGGGCCGGAAACGAAAGATTCCCCGCTGCAACAACGACCAGCCAGTTATTCCAAAATTGCAGTACATCGGACAGAAGCTGAATCATCCGCTATTGATCAATGACGCTGAAACAAGTGAGTTCTATGTCTAGAAAATTTGTTTAATCCAAAACATTTAATTTTCCAGAACTAAATCGGCGCTCGAGAGCTGAGCTAACCCAATCTCCCAACATAGACGTGTCCAGGATGATTTGCTTCGCCGGAATCCCGGCATGCGTTCTATCAGCACGAGGCACAGGTCAAAATTCAATCATGGCAGAAGGGCAAGCAGCACACGCTATGCTGGATTTCTTCAGAAGCGCTACGTCTCCACTCTTCGTCCATCAACTGTGTGCGGCTACTGAGATGAGTCAGCTTGATGAGCACTTGCCAACGCTTAGAAAGTTTTTGAGCAGTTCGAGATCGCGGTGGCTGCGGATTTTTGCAATATTTCAAGGGTGAGTCTGAAAAAATCGATTTTGGGCTGCTTTCAGCCATTCTGTGTGTTTAAAACGACATTTTCGAGTCAGTTTAGGCAAGTTTGACTGCCAAAATAGATGAAAACAAGACCAAAATTTATGAAAAACCAAAAATTTCATTAAAAATCGATTCTTAGTGCTCCCAACTGGAGACCATCTCTGAACCCGACTTCTATCGATTTTGGGCTATTTTAAGCCATTTTGACTGCCTAAAACGACTATTTTTGCTATTTTGAGTGCCGAAATTCATGAAAAACCAGAAATTTCATTAAAAACTGATTTTTCAGTGTTCCCAACTGGAAAACCTCTCTGGACGTGATTTTCTACTGATTTTGGCCAATTTGTGTGCCAAAATAGACTTTGAAACGATCTTTTTGCTTTTTTGAGTTTCAAAATTTATTAAAAACTCAGAAATTCCATTAAAAAGCCTATTTGTAGTGCTCCCAACTGGAAACCCTCACTGAACTCGATTTACTACTGATTTCAGGCCATTTAAAGCTATTCTGGCTTAGTTCAGGCCATTTTGAGTGCCAAAATCGATGAAAACACGACCAAAATCTATAGAAAACCAGAAATTTTATTGAAATTGTTCTAGAGCGAATTTCAGGCTATTTTAAGCCATTTTGGCTCGATTTTGGGCTATTTTAAGCCATTTTGACTGCCTAAAACGACTATTTTTGCTATTTTAGGTGCTAAAATTGCTTTTTTTCAGTGCTCCCAACTGGAAACCACCTCGGCAGCACTGGTTCGCGGTCGGGAGGTCAAGAAACGAGTGCTCCAGAATCTCCGTCAACCGGAAATCGGATACAACGCCGCACGGAACGAGGAGCAGAAGCCAGCGGCGCTTCCAGAACCACCGAAATTGACGCCAAAACGCGTGGATCCTGAAGTTGTGACCCTCGGAGATTCAGAAGAGGAGGCTGAGATAGCCAGCGACGATGTTCAAGTCCTTCGAGAGAAGATTCTGAAGAAAAAGGAGGAAATGGCGATTAGAGGGAGTCCGAAGAGCCCGTCACCAGAGACGGAGAAGTTGAGAGCCGCCGATGCGATGCACTTGAATGTTTTGAAGAATCAGATGGAGCCGGGCATTCGGTAAGGGACTAGGAGGTTGATAAGCTCGGAAAAGCATCGAAAATCGGTTGAAAATGAGCCAAAAAGAGATGAAAATCGATATTTTTAGACTTTTTGAGCTACACAATTGAATTACTTGAAAATTATCAAAAATAAGTCAAAATTGTCTGAAAAGCGATATTTTTAGACTATTTTTATCTGGAAAATCGGATTCTGGAGCCCAAAATTGACTCTAATGACTATTTGAAGCGGTAGAGGCATTTCAAATCAGAAAATGTCAAAATTAAGTCAAAAGTTACCAAAAAGGCCTAAAAATCGATATTTTCAGACATTTCTGGTTCAAATTTTGAAAAATTCGAAAAATAATCTTCAAAAATAGGTGAAAACCCTAAAAAGGCCTGAAATTTATGCGAAAATTGAAGAAAAATCAATTTTGACTCTCGAAAAATCGCTTTTTAAATTTTGAAAAAAAAGCGGCATTTCAATTCAAAAATAGACCAAAAATAGCCAAAATTCTGTTGAAAATAGTCAGAAATGAGCCTAAAATCCCAAAAAATTCAATTTTTTTTAGACTTTTTAGGCCAAAAACTAGCAAATTCCTGCTTGAATCTTGAATTTCGAGCAGTTTCAAATCTAATACCCTCATGAAATCGGTATTTTAAGTCAGAAAAAGTCAAAAATTGTTATTTTTGAGCTCCAAATTGATATTTCCCGGTATTTCTAGCTAAAATCTCGAATTTCCAGCCTACAATCCCTCAACACCCCCCATTTTGCAGCCATCGCCGTCTCGTGGAGCGTGTCGATTCCACTACCTACTTTGGTGAGCTCAACACCTCCCGTCAAGGCCCATCCGACGTCTTCTGCTCTCTTCCCAACACCAACACCATCCGCTACGCCGTCGCCGAGTCTGAAGACGATGAATCAGATGATGGAGAGGAGGCGGTGCCAAGTAAACGAGCCAAGATGGGAGAGCAAGGGGATGAGGTGATTGTGCTGAATACAACGTCTTCTGGAGAGGCTCCAGGGACGTCTTCAGGAGGAAAAGCCAAAAGTAAGTTGTCACCATTCCACATTCTAACCACCTCCAACAGCTTCAGAAGACACTGACGAATTCGGCTCAGAAATCGGAGACATAGTCGATGAGTGGGATGAGTCTGATGACGTGGCGTCGACGATCCCAGATCCAGACTCCACGAAGCCAGAGTCTCCGACATCGAGCACTGATATGACTGATAGCATGTACAATGGCCATCCGAACCATCGGAGTTTGATCGCCTCTCTCGGCCTTCCATCCAACTATCAGGCCAGAACGATCGGCGTCGTGCTGAATGAGAAAATGGCTGTAGACGTGGAGAGCTACGTGGCAAAAGTGGTCGAGAAGTCCCTGGATTCTATCACCTGGTTGAGTAGACTGTGTTGGGATCACTACCGTATGAATTCGCAACCGGATCCAGTTCTGGATATGAAGCTAGACGCTCGTCGGATGCTTCATCGAGAGTTTCAGAGGCTATTCCCGGATAAGTGTGTGATGATGCAGATCACGGGATCCACGATCAACGGGTGTGGATCTTATAATTCGGATGTGGATATGTGCTTGTGCTACCCAACGAACAGCTATAAGGGAACGGTGTTCGATGACTTCCAGAACGAGAGGAGTCAGTCGGCGAAGGTTTTGAGGAAGTTGGATAAGGCGATCAGGGTAAGGAAATGAGATCTAAAATCCCAAAAATCTTAAAAAATTCAAAACTCTTGAAAACCTCAAATAGTTCGAATTTTCCGAAAATCCTAAAAATTCGAAATTTTCCAGAAATTCTCAACATTGGAACCTAAAAATTAATATTTTCAAAAACTTCGAAAATGCGAAATTTTCAAAAAATCGGAATTTTCAAAAATCCTCTAAAATTCTAAAATTCCGAAAATCCTGAAAATTAGAAATTTCCGAGAATCCAAAAATTCGAAATTTTCAAAAATCTCGAAATTTCCGAAAATCTCGAAAATTAGAAATTTTCAAAAATCCTGAAAATCCAAAAATACGGAATTTTCAAAATTTCAAAAAATTAGAATTTTTCGAAAATCCCGAAAAATCGAAATGTTCAAGATCCTAAAAATTAGGCATCAAAAATTTCAAGTTTCCGATTACTGTGATAATTCTGGAGTATTTAAAACAGACCTAGATTGAAAACTTTGCATTTCTAGAATTTTCCTTTTCTCTGAAAAACGCCCCTTTTTGGCTCGATTTGGTACTTTTTGTACTGAAAACTGGCCAAAAGGGGCGTATTTCAGAAATAAGGAATTTTCAAAAAATTCTAAAAATGCAAAGTTTCAATCTCGGTCTGTTTTACATACTCCAGAATTATCACAGTGATCGGAAACTTGAAATCAGTTGAAACATTGATTTTTGTACATTTTATTGATATTCCAGAGATCCAAACCAGGCCATCCACTTCGTCAACACATCAGATACTGTGAAATGGTTCCAGCGAAGGTACCAATTATCAAATTGAAAATGCAAGGAGCGTATCCAGACATGGAGGTGGATATCAATGTGAACAATATCGCTGGAATCTACAATTCCCATCTCACACACTATTACTCGTTGTAAGTCAGACCAGGTAGCCTAGAAATCCATCTATGGCCTAGGTTCTAGACCCTAGAACTACCATAATCCCTCTAGATAGAAGCCCACCCAAGCCATCATCAACTTTGAACTCAATTATCTCAATTCCTGTAAGAGATATCAAACATCTGTCAACTGATAACATATTGACAATATTATGATAAACAATTTATCAGTTAACCAGTTATTGATATCTCTTATTAGGCTTGTCTGAGAGAAAAAAAGGTTGAGACGCAGAGAAAAAGTGTCTGCGTCTCCTCCTTATGTGTGCTATTTAGGCTCTCCGCTTCGATATCGCTACCGTATTTAGACTGCAAAAAATACTCTCTAACCTTTTTTTCTCAGACAAGCATAATATAGGAACTGAGATATATTGATTTCTTAGGGACCAACTTTAAGCTCATATATCTCGGTTTATGTGAAAGATATCAAAAAGTGGTTAGCTAACAAAATGTTGCTGATAATATGATAAACATTTTATCAGTTGAACAATTTTTGATATCTTTTGAAGGAACTGAGATAATTGAGCTCAAAGTTGATAGAGAAGCAGCTAGACTTCTCCCTTAAAAAATGCATTTTTTTCCAGAATCGACGCTCGCTTCCCGGTCCTAGCGCTCGCCATCAAGCACTGGGCGAGTCGTCAAGGTGTCAACAACGCGCAGGCCGGATATCTCAACAGCTACACCATCATCCTGCTCGTCGTCCACTTCCTACAGTGTGGTGTCTCACCGGCGGTCCTTCCCAATCTACAGTACTTGTTCCCCGAGAAGTTTGACAAGAAACTGCCGATCAGCGCGTTGCAGTTGTATGGAGACATTGCTGAGCGATTGCCGAGTGAGTTTTTTTGAACTATAATTCAAAAAATGTCAAAAATGATCAAAAATGGCTTAAAGTAGCTCAAAAGTGATCTAAAATAAACCATAAATCATCTAAAACTATTCAAAAAAATGATAAAAAGAGTCTGGAATGGCTGAAAATATACCAAAAATATTCAAAATGGTTGTAAAAGTTCCAAAATTGTCCTAAACTGGTCTAAAAATTGACTGAAATGGTCCAAAAATGATCCAAAATGGTTGTAAAAGTCCCCAAGAAGGTCTAAAAATGGCTTAAAATAGTCCAAAAGGGGTCCTAAATGGCATAAACGGTCTAAAACTGACCTAAAATCGTCTATAAGGTGTCCAAAAATTGTCCAAAAGTAATCAAACTGCTCCAAAAAAAGGCCCAAAATGGTCCTCAAATTATCTAAAGCGATTAAAAAATGTCCAAAATGATTGTAAAAGCCCCAAAATTGTCCAAAAATGGTCTAAAATTGATCTAAAAATGGCTCAAAATTAGTCTAACAAGTTTAGACTATTTTTGGACCTTTTTAGCCTTTTTCAGACCAATTTTAGATCTTTTCTGGACTGTTTTGGGCCTTTTTAGACCATATTAGACTATGTTTGGATCATTTTTGGATTTCTTTTAGATAATTTCAGGCTAAAATGATCACCCCTCTAATCATATCTTTCTTTCCAGCATCCGCCCCGAACACGTGGTCGATCGGAGAGCTGTTCGTCGGATTCTTCCACTACTACGCTCACTTTGACTTCTCGACTCAAGCGATCTCAGTTCGTTCGGCGCAAGTTGTTCCACGAAGCAGTCTTCCCCATCACATGGCCAATTATCCCATTTTCGTCGAGGAACCATTCGATGCGATCAACACGGCTCGCTCCGTCCGAACCCCCAATCACTTGAATTTCATCAAAAGAGAATTCCGGAGAGCTGTCGCTATCATCAATCAACCTAGATTCACACTTCGTGAGATCGGTGTCCACGTGTCGGGTGATGAGCAATGTCCGCTTTAGAAGCAGGAAGAATCTCCCAATTGTTGTCTCATTTTTGTTGAATAATTACCTGTTTTTCTCTTCTTCCCACCGAATAGTCAGTCGATTTTTTATAATATGTTTAATCAATTTAATTTCTTTGTTTTCTTTGAGTTTTTCTGAAATACTTGTTCTTCTCTATGGCCCCGTCCACTTCTTCTCCCTGGAGATTAATTCTTTTTTCTTTCCCCCCCGGATAATTCCCGCCCACTTTTGAATGAAAGCCTCTGTTTTCCATTTTTTCGGCTTTAATGAGCGAACTTTATTTAGAATGAACTTGTATCGCAGGGAAAGTGGAAGCTCCTAGGAAAAGTAAAATATTACAGTAGTACCTGTAAATCGACTTATTAAAGGCGCATACAACAAAACTGCCGTCCCGCGTCTCGAATAAGATTCAAACTCCGGTTTCCAAAAAAAGATCCAGATCTGAAATTTCGTTTTCCAGCTTAAAATTAGGCGTATGTAGACCAGCGGGCGTGGCCGGGCCCATAAAAACAGAAAAAACGAAAACACAGATGGGAGTCGAACCCGCGATGCGCGACTTATAGCCAAGGGCGCTCACCTCTACACTACACTGCGCTTTCTATTGCCGCCAGAACGGTTATGAAACGATGAGTGGGCGCGGCTAGGAAGGTACGGTGGCGTTCTCGCTTGTACAGTAACAGGAGTCATGGTTAGGGGTCCATTGATATTTCTCGTGCAAGGAACGTTTTAAGCATGTGCTCACATTCTATTGCTGGAATAAAAAAGTGAGACTCGGTGTTTGCGTACTTTGATTCCCGCCTCCCCCCACCGACGCTTTGCGAGTGCGGCGTGGTGTTTTGGCGTGCCACTTGGAGAGCATATTTTCTATGAAAATCTCATTAAATCCGTCATTAAATCCTACACCCTTTTTTCCGGGTCAAAAACAGCCCTAAATAGCCCAAAATAACCCCTTTTCCTCTTCCCCTACCCCTAAAAGTGGGCGGAGCCTGCGACACACACAAAACATAGCGGGCGGCGGAACCCGGGAGATGTCGGTACACGGTGGAAGGTATAGGCGCGCCGCTCGCCTCCCCCATTGGTTTTAACCCAGTTAACCAAGGTTAGCATGGATTTCGACCTTTCGAAACGAGAGTGTTGAATAATACTGTAATTTTTGGACACGCTTCTTCGGGGTTATCCGTTGAGGCAACAATTTATTAAAAAGATTTCTAGAATTTTCTTAATGAATACTCCTTTTGAAGATCCCATAATCTGGGTTGAATTTCCCTGATGCCGGAAATCCTAAAAACAACTATAGAAAATTCCAGATTTCTGTTAAAATAATCAAACATTCCGTATAAAATTGGAGATTTTATTCAAGTACACATAATTTAGAAACATTTTGAAGACTCGACCGTCTAGAACATTCTAAACGAAAGAGCATCACAGATCGATATACAAGACGAATTTGAGGGGGCATCAGAAAAACAAAATTTAGACAACAGCTTCACGCTCAACAGCGAATGGGGTGTCGACCTTGATGTGTCCGGAGGCGGCGATGACGACGTCCTGCTTTGGCCGATCTCCTGGCAGCTTCTCTGTCTTCTCGATCTTTCTGACAACATCCATTCCTTCGAGCACCTTTCCGAAGACAACGTGACGTCCGTCGAGCCATGGCGTCTTGACGGTGGTGATGAAGAATTGCGATCCGTTGGTGTCAGCTCCAGCGTTGGCCATCGACAACCATCCGGCTCCGTAGTGCTTCAGCTTGAAGTTCTCATCAGCGAACTTCTCTCCGTAGATCGATCGTCCTCCGGTTCCGTCGCCGCGGGTGAAGTCTCCTCCTTGGATCATGAAGTCCTCGATGACACGGTGGAATTTGCTGCCTGGGTATCCTTCGCCCTGGAAAGAACAGAAGTTACAGTAATTTGAGTGAAGCCACAGTAATCTAGGCGAAGCTAAAGTACTCTAGGTGAAGCTACAGTAATCTGAAATTCGCTAGATTTTGTGTTAAAAACGTCGAGAAAATCTATTTTTGTACGCAAAATCCTATTTTCTCGACCATTTCTCCCGAAAAAGCAACGTTTGAGCCGATTTTTCTACTTGAAAAGCTCAAAATGGTCTCTCAAACGCTTGGAACATCACCTTAGCGTAATAAGGTCCAGTTTAAAGCCTAAAAATGATCCCTAACAAGTTATTTAATCGATTTTCCTCTTACCTTTGGCTTCTGGGCCAACTGAATGAAGTTCTCGGCGGTCTTTGGCACGGTCTTTCCGAAAAGTCCGATGACGATGCGTCCGATTGGCTTTCCTCCAATCTCCATGTCGAAGTAGACCTTATCGGTCACTTTTGGTCCCTTGGCATCGTCTTGAGCGAGGGCGCCGACGGCGAGGCAAACCGCCACGAGAACGAGTGATGTCTTCATACCTGCAACGATGTTTTTTAGGATTGGAAAGCTTTAAAAGCAAAAAATCGATAAATTTGAGCTTCCGATGACGATTTTCATAGAAATTAGCGATCTGAATCATTCGAAGAACGGTAATATCCGGCACATGGATTTGAATTTAAATTTCATTTTTCCTTTAGACGCG